TATTGAAGAAGATTCAAATATTTATTTAATGATAATTATCAGAAAAGAATAAAAATAAATACAGTTGGATTCTAATATTTTATTATCTGTTATTTGTATCTTTAATAAATATTAATCAAGCTAATATAACATGAAATTGATAATAATAAAAATGAAGTAATGATAATCAAAAATAAAAAGATAATAATGAGAAAGAAATGAGTAAAAAACAATACTATAAAATATAATTAATTATTTTAGTTCCTTTTCCTTTCTGGATTAGATTTAACTTATTGTAAATTTATTGTTTTATACTTCAATCCATTCATTCCATATTTTAAAACAATTTTTTGGTATTTTTTTATTTTTCTTTAACTTACTTTTACATCCACATTTATAAAAACATCCCTTTTCAAATGATGTAATGGTTGTTGGTATAGTAATTGACTTTAATTCTTTACAATGACTAAAACAACTATTTCTTATTTGACTAATTGTTGTTGGTATAGTAATTGATTTTAATGACGTACATTCATAAAAACATTCCTTTCCTATTTCACTCACTGATGTTGGTATAGTGATAGACGTTAATGAATAACAATTTTCAAAACAATAATTTCCTAATTTAGTGACTGTTGTTGGTATAACAAACTCATTTATATTCTTCGGTTTTATCTCCTTTTCATTAATTCTTTTTAATCTACCAATTGGAATAGATGCCATATTTTGTTCATTCACAATTATTCTATCTTCACCGATAAATTGGATATTTTTATAACTAATTGATGTTAATGACGAACATCTTTGAAAGCATCTATTTCCTATTTCACTAACTGTTGTCGGAATATTGATTGATTTTAATGATGTACATCCATCAAAGCAAAAATGTCCTATTCTATTGATTGTTGCTGGTAAATCAATTAATGTGATTAATGAGCACCACCTAAAACAATTATCTCCTAATTCAGTGATTCTTGTAGGTATAGTAATTGATCCTTCTAAATTATATACACAATACAAAAAACAATCTTTAAGTGATGTAACTTCTG